TTTACCTGGATTAAATTTAAAACATTTAATTTAACACAAACCAGAAACAATAATAAAAGCAGATATTTTATTACACAACCAGCATATTTATCGGTTGAAATAAATGCTCATAATTTATTATATTTAATTTTACTTGTCAAACAAAAGCAGTTACCACCACAAGCATTGAATATTCCTATTTTTAACTCGCAAGCTTGTGAATCAATTTTTAGAAATACACGAGCGTTAAGTGGAATTTATTCAACCATAGTCAACTTTACAGTACATGATTTTCTACGACGTGCCCAAAGATTATCATTATTGAATGACATTAAATGTAAACAGTTACATAGTGGTTCAGTTGACAAGTTAGTCTTTCCGGTTCATTATAAACATCGGGTTGAACGTCAATCATCATTTACACACAGTCAACTTGAAATTGATGAAATAGACATCGAACGAGTTATTACTGATGCCTATCATCATGCTGTTGATATGCTTGAAGGTCTAGATATATTGAACTTATTGGAAAAAAAACATGTTCTTGGATTAAAACCATTAAGTGAATATTTATTTCGACAATTAAATTCCAATTCACAAAAACATAATTACTCTTCTCAAATAAGCAATATAGACGATGAAGTATTTGAAAGTGACGATGATAATGATGAAGATGGAGATGACACAACAAATGATCTCAGCATGAATGAGGACAATGATGATAGCTCTATTAACAACGATTACACTGATGAAGATGAACAAAATAACACTCAAGATTTAATAAATACTACAAAGAAAGACTTCTCTGGAGTAAAAGTTGCTGATAAAGTGGAGCCTCATATTGAACATACCTATTTTAAAGTGAAATTAAATCATGATACAAAATTTTTACACAAACAAACTGCTTGTTGGTTGTTAACAGAAGAGAAAAGTAAACTTTCAAATGACCGATTACTTCGCGTGCAACAGGTCAATAAATGATAATATAAATGGTTTTTTCTTTTTTTTTATAGTATTTGTTTGATTTTTTTCAATAAAGGGTATATTTTGTTGAATTTAAAATTTTTTTATTCATTGAAGGTGTTGTATATGGGTGGTGCACAGATACTGTGCGAACATCTCAA